AGCATCGCCCCGATTATCGCTCGGACTTGGATACACTAAATACGCTGGAGTCAATAGTCAGATGTTTGCCTGCCGAACTGCAGACAACCTGGGCGACCGAGGCCGATTGAATCGATAAAAGGAACAGCAAAGCAACCTTTGTCGAACTCACTGAATTCATAATCTGCAAATCCCGCATAGCAAACAGTAGATTCGTTCAAATGCCAAGAGAAAGCATCAGAACCACCAGACCTTCAACCAGCTTCGCGCCGTTTGAATCTCGGGGTCTTCATCCTTCACACAACTGCGAGAGCACCAATCTAATCTCATATGAGCCACGTACACCGATTAAGTGCAAACTGTGCATAGGTGTCCACTGGCTTGTAACCTGCTCTGATTGTTTGACAATGAAGGTGACGGACCGTTCAAAATAGCTAAGAAGACAGGGTCTTGTTTTGCATGCTTGAGTGATACTCACAGAGCGGCCCTATGCAGAAATCGAACCAAATGTGGTCAAGACAACTCCAATGTTCGACATCGCCCCTTGCTACACAACAATGGAAGGGTAGAGTCATGAAAAGATAATGGACGGGTCGATATAACCTGCAAAGACCCTGTGGGGGGATATACCGAAATCCGTCTGCAATATTGAAAGGGTGTCAAATGGGCCGGTTCGCTTGGGAATAATACCCATCCAAGTGGAGACTCCGCATGGTTTGGTCCATGCCGTAGCGTTTCTAGACAACGGATCGGATACCACCCTTGTGAGAACGAGCTTTGCTAAAACGGACTGCATAGTTCGCTTTACCGTGCTCTTTAACGTAATTCAGTGAAAATTCACAGAGAGCAAATACCACGCAACCGAATTTGAACGTACCTGCTAGGGTTAGTTTCAGTTCAGTTCCGTTCAGAGCTCCAGGAATTGATGGCGAGATGCCAAATTGCACTGTTTCTTCCTCTGATAGGCTCTTGGATCCCCCAGTGCTTCGAATTGACGATGTTGAGGTCTTCAGCGAATTGTAGCTTCTCTATTGTCTTGCTCTGTGTAAGCTTTGTCACACACCTGGACGAACAAAAACTCAAAAAAAATAAGTTATTAGTGCAGTGTGAAAAGGAACACCCCTATTTCAGTCACCGTGATACAACTTCTTTGGTATGTTCTTCATTCCTAGTCAGAGATATTACCTCACGCCTTGTCAAGCTGCAACTTGAATTGCGTTATCGTATTGATTTCTATTACTTCACTTGGTAGATTATTCCAGTCATTAACCGCTCTTACTTCAAAGAAGTGGCTTCTGATCCCCAGCCTGGGTCTTTGCTTCTTCAGCCCCAGAGCGTGTCCTCTAAGAGTTTCACCACCTCTCGTCTTAAAAGTAGGCTCACTGGCGCCCTCTATCTGCATCAAGCCTTTTATTATTTTGAACGTTTCTATTAGGCCACCTCCCCCTCTTCTTCTCATTCGAGAGAACAGCCTTAACTCCTGTAACCTTCGGTTGTACTCCATCCCTCTACAGTGACCAAATTACCTGGTGAAGCGACGCTGTACTTGTTCGAGAAGCCTGCTGTCCCTCACCAATTTGGGCCTACACGCTTGGATGCAATATTTCAGGTGTGGCCGGACAAACACCTTGTATAGCGGTAAGAGAAAGCTAGGCTTTCTCGAACATACCGCTCATTTCAGTTGGTGTAGCGTCCGTGTGACTTTCTGTGCAGCGTGACGGCACCGTTGGCTTGGCCTGAAGTATGACCCCATTATGACTCCCAGACCTCTAGCTTCAGTTGCTCTCAGCAATTCCGTCCTGTCCCCCGGAGCGCCCATATATTGAATGGGCCTTAGCTCTCTCCCCTCCACAAGATGCTGGCATTTTGCCTCATTGTGAGGGAGATCCCACGCCAGCGACCACCTTATCTAAATCTCCTTGATTTCTGTCGTTTGTTACTGCCTCGATAATCTTGATGTCCTCCGCAAACTTAAAGCACGGATTCTTCAGCCCGTTAGCTAGATCATTGACGAACAACACGAATAACAGTAGTCCCAGCACGGAACCTTGGGGCTCTCCACTCTTCAATTCTCCTCTCAGTGACAGGGCTTCATCCACTCTTACCTGGAATTGTCTTCCCTTCGGGCTTGACACTACCTAACGTTCTACTCTAGGTGCTATCCTAAATACTTTCAGTTTTTGAGCGTGTAGCCTATGATTCACTGAATCGATGGCCTTTTGGAAGTCAAGATAATACACTTTCGCTCGCTCTACCCTGTCCAGCCTCTTTGTTACCTCGTCTGGAAACACTAAGAGGTTCGAGAGAAAAGACCTCCACCGCATGAATCAATGCTGGTAAGACCCTATCAATTTGTATCTTTCAAGGTGTGCCACGATCCTTTCTCTTACTATGCACCGCACATTCCAGCGGCTTTAGTATCGTTAGATGCATCCCATCCGGCCCTGCGGCCTTCGCAGTAACTAATTGCCCAATGCTCCTTTACTTACTCCACTGAAATGACTGCATCTTCTACCTCTGGTATCTGCAAATTACCGGTCGCTGGAAACCTATGAGGCCCTTGGTCTGACCTGTAAACGCTTCGGAAGAATTCAAGTAGTACAGTGGCTTCCTCCTCCCCAATTGTGGCACGTTTGCCTCTCCCATTCTTTACTGTATCGACTGAGCCTCTCAAAATGGCCTTCGATTGAACGTAATTAGTGTGTGCCTTAGGATTCTTTTGGCATTACTTGCAATCCTGGTTTCGTTATTCCGGCGGTGTTCCCGTTACACACCGTCTGCCTTTTGTCCAGTTACTTTGTATTCTAGGTAAGCTCAGTCTCCTTCCATTTTCTTATACCTTTTCTATGCCACCTGTCTCCTTTTCATTATCTTTCTAACTACACTTGTCCACTGAGGCATTGCATCTCTCCTTCTGACCTTTCTCAGGGGTGCAACTTCATCTGTGAGTGTTATGAGATCATTCTTAATCTTATTCTTAATCCACAGCTCCTTCAGGTGGTCCTCTTACTGGTTTACAGTCCACGAGACCTGTTGGCCCAGCTCCTTCAGCCTACTGTGATCTATCCCAGAGAAGTTCCTTCGATACTTATCCGGGACAAGTGGTCTTTGATTCACTAGTCGCAGTCTTATAACTGCATGATTGTTCTTGCCTAGCGGTTCTTCTACCCGGACCACTTCAATTTCGTTCGCTGCTTTGGTGATCACAATAACCATGCCTCCACCTAGTTACTTCATCGATGTGTTGATAGAGAGCTCTTTCTTTGCTCAAATCGACCAAAACTCACCAAGAGACCCTTCCAGCGCAGAGTAGGCTGTCCAATATATCTCCGGTGCATTGAAGTCACCTTCCACTATCGGCTTTCTTCGAGCATTAACTACCCTAGTTATAAACTCCAGTAGTTGTGTATCTTCTTCCCCAGTGGGCCCAAGGCTTAAATAAACACAGGCTGCCGATAGACAAGATGAGGCACCGGCAACGACTGCTTTAATAGCTTGACTTTTGGGGGTGGTTAGATTAAGGCGCGGTGCTCTAGATGGTCCGCCATGAAGAGTGTCCCTCCCCCGCCTGTTGTACCGTTCATCCTGACCTGCCCAGAAACTGAAAACCTCTCTGATACTTTAAATTTACCTCTTCATCCGTGCTGAACCACGTTTCTGTGACGACTACAATCTCAACATCCTCCGTCCGCACTCTCAGTCACGGCCATTTGTTCCCAATGCTAAGTGCATTCGCGTTAGTCTCTTCTCACTTCGGCCAGTCTCAAATTTCTTCACAGAGGGGGTTCTCTGCCCGGGCCTCGCACCCGAGCAGTCCGACCGTGATTTGTATAACGGTCACGTCGGTTTTGTTTCTAGATTTTCCCTCAGGGGTTTTACCCGGGGGGCTTCTATGATCGGAGTGCTAGTCGGGAGAAGATACCTTAGAGGTGCATCAGGCATTTACCATCGCCGAACTACCAATGAGAGCCTCCAAAAGTATCCGGTCGTTAGCGCGGCGCTGGCCTCACCTCCACGATCTGCCGCTCGAGGATGTTCCGGACAACCGAGTGGACATATTGATCGGCTGTGACGTACCCAAGACGCATTGGGTTTTGAACCAACGAAAAGGAGGCCGTAGAGATCCATATGCTGTGCGCACGATTTTCGTTTGGTTACTCTGCGGAACGTTCGTCAATGATGGCAGCTATTCAGCCTCAATTAACTACATCTCGCGGTCAGGTAATCCCATAGGAGACAACCCGGAGCGGTTATATAATCACGAGTTCGGTGACATAGCAGATGACCGGGTATCTATGTCGAGGGAAGATCGATCAGCCCTGGCTATTGTCACCAGAATAACATGACACAATGAACCCAGTTTGACGTGCCGTTAAACTGGCGAACGGGATCCAATCGACTGCCTGATAATCAAACGGTAGCTGCCCATGGGCGTAACTGTCTGATAGGACAATTGAAAAAGAACGCACAGTTGAAGGAAGCCTACTGTAACGCCATGAAACGAAACCTAGAGTTGGGATATATCAAACGCGCAGTGGGAGAAGCCGAAAAAGAGCAACCATTATGGTACCTTCCGCACCAGTCATTTATAAACCCTAAAAAAAACTCAAAGGACCAGAGTTGTGTTAAAATGTGTTGCCAAGTGTGACGGGATTATCCTAAACGACCGCCTACTACAGAGCCCAATCTGACGACCCTGGTGATTGAGGTGCTGTGCCGCGGTAGAGAATGATATCCAGGAGATGTTCCTGCAAGTTAAAGTTCCCGAATGGCTAAGGGACGCTTAATGGTAGCCGGAGAAAGACCTAGATAGACCTGCCGAAAAATATCGGGTGACGCAATATCCTATCCCTTCTGTGCAAACTTCGATTTAAAAACGACCATGAGCCGAATTATTCAGCGTTTCCAGACACTGGTCAACTCCTGTGTTAAACAACTTTTAGGTGGACGACTTTCTGGGATCCTTTGATAGCATCGAGGAAACAGTTTGACACATTATTGACTTATCTAAGCTACTGCTGATGGGAGGGTTCAAGTTAATTAAGTGGACATCTAACAGTCTTAAAGCAACCGATTGCATCCCGGTTGAGAAACGGTCACCGTGTCTCCGTGACTTGAAAGGAAGTCCGTTACCAACAGACAAAGCACTTGGTGTGCAGTGGGACTCGGAGAACGATGAATTTTTGTTCCAACTCCAGCTACCTGAGGAAACGGTGACTCGCAAAGGAGTTCTGTCTTCGTCGGCCAGCCTTTACAATCCAATGGGGTTCGTCGCACCGTGGCTACTGCCGGGCAAGATTCTGCTGCAGGACCTGTGTAGAAAAAATGTTACTTGGGATGAGACTCTGTTCGAATCGGATCACAAGACTTGGCAAGGCCGGTAGGTAACCCAGTCCAAGCTGGGTGATATACGGTTCCCTCGTCTCATAACAGGAATACGCCGAGGGGAGGCAAGTGAGTTACACGTTTTTTCGGACGCGTCGGAGGCGGGATACGGGGTAATGGCCTGCAGTTGCTCGNGTTGCTCGCCTCGGCCAGGTGGAACGAGGCATAGCAGTATTCTATTCTAAAGGCCGGGGTCGCCCCTTTAAAGGCAGTCTCCATACCCAGGCTAGAACTGGCCGCAGTAGTATTAGCCATGAGGGTGGCGAAGACGCTAGAAAGATGTTTTCATTTGTTCTAATGGACTGTAATTTACTGGACTGATTCCGCTATAGTTCTCCACTATGGTAACAATGTACAAACGCACTTCAGCACGTTTGTTGCCAACCGGCTAGCTGTTATCCAAGAAGAAACTGAGGTGTGCCAATGGAGGCACGTAAAATCGTGTGACAATCCGGCCGAACACTGCTCCAGGGGTGTGCTGAACCTGGATAAAATAAAAACATGGTCACATGGGCCAGCTTTCTTGGTGGATCAGCCCAGTGAATGGCCCAACACTCAGATTGCCCCGGTCGCAAGGGAGCTACTGGAAACCAAGAGGACCGTTACGTTGGTCGCTGCTTCAACCAACAATCTACTACAGAAACTGCATCGTTTTTCACGATGGTCGAAGGTGCTGAGGGTGGTTGTCTAGTAGACCAGATTCAAACGAAAACTCGTTGTTATGAAATGACCCCGAACAAACGACAACTTGAATATTGGACTCATCATTCCAACCGAATAGAAAACAACAGAGACTGATGTTGTTCGTTTGATCAAGGGGAATTGTGACTCCAACAGACGTGCATTACGTTGCAGCTCTCTCCGAAGACTCTGTCCAATTTTGGTAGATGGTTTGCTGAGAGTAGTTGGTAGATTGAGAAAATCTGACTTCGATTTTGATGTTAAACGCCCCACTGACTTACCCAGTAATCACCACATCACGCACACACTCATCATACATATTCACATGCAAGAAGGTCATACGGGAGAAAACAACTAATCAAGGCGATTCCCCGTCGGTTTTTTTACAGCGAAGGGGAGAGCTACGGTGAAGCTCATCGTGGGTAATTGTCTCTTTTGTCGTCGACAGAATGCTACATTCAGCAATTAACTGATGGCCTTGTTTACAAGTTTCCGAGTACGACTAAGTTGGTGGCTCTCAGCTGAAACTGGAATGGAAGACTTCGGGTCACTTTGGGTGAGACGAAAGTTGTCGATGGAGAAACGGTACGGTTGCCTGATGACCGATCTACAGCCACGAGCTTTGCATATAAAAACCGTAAACAGCATGTAGAATGACTCCTTTCTTATGGTCTGGCAGAGATTCGTGGGTAGACAAGGCAACCCATCGAATGTGTTCTCCGACAACGCGTCCAATTTTATCGGTGCACAAAGGGAGTTAAGCAAATGGCTGACGCGGATAGACAAATGCGTCCTGCAAGACAGCCTGTCGCCATCTGGAATCCAATGGCACTTCAACCCACCTTACAGCAGTCACCGCGGAGGAGTTTGGGAACGGCTTATACGGTCGGTGCGAAATATATTGACGGCTTTATGCGAACAACGGGCGTCGGATGATGAAACTTTGAGCACATTTCTGGTAGAGGCGGAAAGAATGCTCAACAACCGACCGCTTGTACCCGTCACCAGCGATGACCTGCAAGGACTGGCACTAACTCCGAGTGATCTTCTGCTGCTTAGATCCAGTGCTGGCTTAGACATGCCAAAAGCCATTAGTGGATGCTATACCTCGGGTTGGAAGCACGCAAAGTACCTAGCAGGGGTATTTTGGAAGCGTTGGACGAGAGAGTACCTGCCAACCCTTCAAGCCCGACAGAAGTGGTTGCTTAGAGAACGGTCGCTGGAGGTTAGAGACGTTGTCCTTATGACAGACGAAAAGCTACAACGCGACAACTGGCCACTGAGTGTAGTCACAGAAAGCCACACGGACCCAGACGGACTATTAAGAACGGCGAAACTGAAACATCTGCCGGTGAACAGGTGCGCGACATTCGAAGTGTGTTCATTGGAGGGAGATAACTACCATGCCGTGTACAGGCTCACATGCCTTATTGTACAAATTGCCCCCCCAGTGGTATTAACCCAACCAGGACCATGCAGTGCTCCCACACGCTCACTATACGTCCTCTCCATCACATTTTCGTGACTGAGTGTCTATTTATTTCTTGGTTCATACAATATTTATAAGATGAATGTCGAAGGTGTGACCCATGTCCTCAAAACACTCATCCATTTACACACACGCACACACACACTATCACTGCATGCCGAACATTATTTCATTTGTAAACACAAACAGCAAACACGCCGTCCACTTGTACCTCTTGTTTACACATCAAGACTTTATCTGAAAAGGTAAACATTTGACCCATGGTTATCTTTATCGTGTGACTGACTGCAAGCTTGCTGATGCAGAGGACAGTTCTAGACGAAGGAACGTGAAAGTCACTGGAGGTCAAGATCGACGAGTGGGGCGTACGTTGAACAGTTAGTAGGTAGACGTACTGACAGTAGGTAATAGTCAGTACATAGGTGGGCAAGAATCAATGAACTGAGCCAACCCTTTGACTCAGACGAGCGCAGGAAAGATTTTGCCGGCCGGAGTATTTCGTGTTGATTTTTCGAAAATCCTTCCCAACCCACATTGATTACATTTGACGTAATTCTATTCTTGCGTCGCTTACTTATTGACTTATTCTCACTCACATACACCCACACCATTGTTTATCTGTTGACTCGATATCCGCCACATTTCAATTTGGCGTGGATAGAGAACGTGATGGACCTGTTGGCCCTTGTTGGACATCCTATTTGGTTCTCGATTGCTTGAGTGCTTTTGGCCGCATATTTGAGGTTTGCTTTGTCATACATTCTGTCGTAATTTCTGTAATTCAGTACCGTAGAACACTATGAATCAATCGTGTTTTATTTCGGGATTCGTATCGATTTTGGCTACGCTTCATTCAATTGCGATTTGGTTGACGTACACTCAGTACTCCTCGTTGGGGAACAGTTCTAGCCACCTCTTGTCCAGAGCCATTTTGAAGGCGAGAACTTAAGTTGTAACAGTCAAAAAGACTGAAAATTCCTCTCAATTACCTTGCGTTTCCTCATGTCTCTTCCCCATTCTATCGTGCATTCGTTCCGACAGTGGTTTCCATGTCGGTGAATTTTCTCTTTTGAACCTTCTGTTTGACGTTTTTTACGGTGAAGCATATCCATTGGACACACTTCAAGTGCTTTGCTCTTACATGTAAATGAGATTCAGTGCTTTTTCTTGTTTTATTGCGATCAACGTTTCGATTGGACGCTTGCTGCTGAACTAACCGTTGCTTTCGGTTATAATGAACCCCTTTTGGCTGTAACGCTCAAGATTATTTTGCTTGATCTGTTGAAGCGTGCAGAATTTTCCTGTTGGCCTAGAATTATCTGAAAGGTAGTTCAAATCACTCATTTTCTTATTTACTTTTTATTACCGCAGATATTTTCTGAATACTTGTAACATGTTGGCTGGATACTGAATCAGGCTCACTATCAGAGGTTTGTATTTGCGATTAATGCGAAAATAGTACCGTAGATTATTTTTTGATCGACTTGGTTCTCGATAATTTTGGCTACGCTTTGCCCTGAGATTTGTTTATCTTTATCCAGAACGAGCACAGGATCATTTGATTGAACGCATACAGAGGTCTTTTTCGTTTTGCTCGAACCAGGACAATCGCGTTTTGGTCGTTACAGTACTCTGATATGACCGTCACTCGGAGAATGAATGTGACGAACAAGGACGTTTATGGCGAACAGCGGGGACCCGACGACAACACTGGAGAATCTCGGCAAGTTCCTTTGTACAGTTTGTCTGTTAATGGCTCCGGGGTTAGTGGGTCTAGTCGGCTGAGCAATAAGTCGAAGCTTAGCGTATCGTTAATTGAAATAAAGGAACGCCATCTGCGAGAGAAAATGGAGCAGCAGATGAAAGGACTCTAAGAAAGACGTAGAAGCGAACTGCTAGCAGTACGACAAGAATCGGAGACTGCAAGGCTCGCAGAAAAAATGGAGGATAAGTTATTCATCCGTTCTACCGTGAGTGAGGACGGAAAAGGTCGAGTGATGCAGTTTGTTGAAAACCATCTAGTATGGGACGCGAGGAAGGCGAATAATCCTTTTGTTCCCAGGACAGCAGGGTTCGATGAGCTAGAGAGAAAACATAAGACGACGAAATCCACATCAGGTCGCATTACTGTGAATCTAGACCTACACAAAGTGGAGCTTCTGTCTTTCGATGGGCGACCCACAATATATTGGAGGTTCATTCGGCAACTTCAAATATACGTTGCGTCCAAGACTAATGACGACGGGAAACGCTTGTTATATTTGCTTCATTAATGTGAGGGGAAGGCTAGGACCGCAATTGAAGATTGCATCATGTTGCCACCTGCGGTTGAGTACAATAGGGCATGTACGATTCTCAAAGGTCTATTTGGGCGCTCACACGAGGTAGCGCGCTCACTTTTAGACGGATTACTGGAGGGTCTCAACATGAATGGCGTGGACGCTGATGTATTGTCATGTTTAGCCATTCGAATGGAAAGCTGCATGATTGCCCTGGAACAAATGGGTTACACGGCTGATCTTAATTCGCTTTGCACGTTGGAACAAACAGTTAAAGAGTTGCCGTATTCTCTGCAACATAAGTGGGCGGAGACCTTGGATCGGATTGCTCAAAACGACAGGAAGCCAAATTTTAGCAAACTGACAGAATTCATATCTGCAATGGCTAGAGTAGCGAGGAGTCAGGTCAGTTCAGGTCAGGTCAGGTTTCTAGGACGAAAACAGGCTTTCGCCTAACGTGC